TTTCCTGACCTCACGATGTTACGGTCTCTCCATGTATAAACCGGGAATAACACAGCATCTACCTCATTGTTCAGGGAAATACCTGGAGTACAAAAGAAGCATCTGCAATAATGCCAATCGGGGAAGATAGATGTTTTTCATCGCCATCATTCCTATTTTCTTGCCCACCTTTTCTGATGTTTCTCCACCAAGACATATAATACAATCTCTATGATGATCACCAACATAACAAACTCCCACGCGGGGACCCAGACATGGAAAAGACCCAAAACAAATAGAGTGGAAGGCTTTTCTCTGTAGGATACTTACAATAAGTTTTAAAAAACATTTCACCAGCATGACAGGACTTATAAGCAGTCTGTGCACCGAACTACAACATTACAGCGTGAAGTTCAAACAGGAGTGGGTGGGTGGCACATGTTCCCTCAAGGGCCAGCCACACAAATCACAAAGGGATGCAAATAAGTGAGGCTGTTATTATTCTAGGGATAACCTTGAAGTGCTGACATTTTAAAAAGTAAACCTATTGTAAGCACCAGTAGTTAACTCTTACTAGTAACAGAAGTACTTGAGTGTAACTCATTCCTGAGTTCACTTTGTCAGGAAATAGAGTGGAGAAAATATTCCTTAGCCATTGCAGGGAGCCACTTGAGCAAGGGTCAAGATCCAGCAGGCATTAATGCCAGCCTGGCAGTGAAGGTGACAAAGAGACAGTGCCAGTTTACAAGACAAACTGCTCCCACCAAACCCAGCCACCATAGCGTATAACCCTTGCCTGTCCTGATTTTTAAGACTGGGCAGAGTCCCGAGAGGAAAGCCCTGTTCCCATTCCAGAAGATTGCGTGTTTAGACAAGAGAACTGTGGGATTTTGAACAAATAAAGTGATTCCTCCAAACCCTCCCATGAACACACATAGCCCTGCAGATATGACAAAGTCAAGGAAGGATGCACTTAATTGTGACAATGAAAAAAATAAATAAAACAGCCCAAATGGGCAAACGCAAAGCTCGAGTCCAAACTCCTCAGGCTGAGAACGTGGTTACAGTGCTAAGGCTCCTGGGACCCACCTTGGCGGCTTTCCAAGAGCTATTAGTTTGCATTAACACACAGTAAAAGAAGGTCTGATAAATTAAAAGTGAGATAATTTAGGAGGACATCTTTATACCCAGCACCAGCCCAGTGCATGGCACATGGCTGATGCTAGATAAATGCTCATCAGCAGCCAGCATCAGTCACAACTGTGAATGTTGACACAGGATGTAATACATGTATAGGGATATGGCTTAGATTAGAGACTTTAAGGGTTGGAGAGATCATTACTTAATTTCAAAGAGAAATTTGAAAGTGTAGCCATCTTCTGGCTACTAAGAGTGACTCTATACTTCAAAGCAATTATTAACTTTAAAGGCAGCCTGGTAAAACCTGCACTGACAAGTCCCAAATGCTTATTTATTTCTCACCCTATCTTCTCAATTGTCACCCAGATAGCAATCCCCCCATATAAAATTATTTCCTCCCTTTTCTCAAGTATCATCTGAATTATAGCAGTCAAAACTACCCATCAACCTGTTCATCTGACACCAGGACCCTTCCCCAAACTTTGAAATTCACCACAGGAAACCCCCAGAGACAAAGCTAACAGCACACACTTTCCTGAGGCCTATTATAACAGCATCAACACAGAATGCCACTCCCAACCACTCCTCCTCCATGCCTCCTAGGGCCAGGAGCCCATGACACATAACGAGGAAGGAAGACAATGAGTTCCTACTGTGCTTAAAGCCTCTTGAGAAAGAGCAGAGCAGCCATCTGTCTGTATGACGGGAAGGAGAGGCCATAAACTTTCCAACCCAGATCTTACAGATGACTGCTCTTTGCAGTTTTCTACACATCTCTGCAGGGTACACTAGTCACTGCCTGTCCCCTGCCAAAATTAATCCAGGGATGTCTCTGTAATGCCTTAGATCCTGAGACACATGGAACATTAGGGAAAAGTTGTGTCAAATGTCAGAGTGATACCTAGAACGGTTCCTGGGAACTCCTACTTCCAAAGGCCTCCCCGTCAGCTAGGGTCACAGGGGATTCTAGCATTTCAATGCTTTTGGAGGACGGCTGCACAGAAGGTGGCTTGGTTATTTTAAAACTAAGAAAATTGAATGGGATGAGAGATTATGTGAATGCCTGTGATTTCCTGAGGTCCCTTCCAGCTTCCAGATTCTACCAAAGAACACAGCATATGCATGTACATAGGCACACACCTCTTTATAAAAATGTATACAGATGAGGGAATATATATAAATGAGTACTATATTCACACTTCCAGACACAAAGCACTTGAAATGCACACTGCTGAGGAGATCAAAAAGCCCATGAGCTGCTCTGCAGCAGCAGCTGGAGCACACAGTTGCCACCGGCAGATCGGGGCAGAACTCCCCACGCCTCCTGCCATTGCAGTTCACCTTAAAACCAACTGGTGGCTGCTTGTGTAGGTGCAAACCCTGCAAAGCTCCAAAGCAGGACTGCAGATTCCTTCACCGAATGACTCCAGTCACGAGTGTCCTAGAGTGAAGAAGGCAGGGTGAAACAAAGGAGGAGATGAAAGAAAAAGCCCAAACCCTATGCCCAGGCAGAGCCACCCCAGCAGAGGCAGATGCCAGACAGAGCAACTTCCTTCTCCTCTTCTCCCAGCCCCTACAAAGGGTGAAACAGTCACCCTTTTGCCCCTCCTCCATCACCTTGCTTTTCAGGGCCTCTCCAAGTAAGGCTGACGACATGGGCATTTAAATGAGCATTTAAAAGCAGGGTGATGGAGGAGGGCAAGAGGAAAAAACTAAACTGGAAAAAACTAAAAAGCTCTCTAGAAAAGAGAGCTTTGCTCTAAGCCGGGCACGGTGGGTCACGCCTATAATTCCAGCACTTTGGAAAGCCGAGGCAGGTGGATCACCGGCGACCAGCCTGACCAATAGGGTGAAACCCCGTCTCTACTAAAAATGAAAAATTAGCCAGGCATGGTGACAGGCGCCTGAAATCCCAGCTACTTGGGGGGCTGAGGCAAGAGAATCGCTTGAACCCGGGAAGCTGAGGATGCAGTGAGCTGAGAACGCGCCATTGCACTCCAGCCTGGGCAACAAGAGCAAAACCCCATCTTAAAAAAAAAAAAAAAAAAAAAAGACAGGAGAGCTTTGCTCTAATCTTAACTGCCAAATAAATCTGAGGATGCCCATCTCAGCCCTGAACAATAGCAACAAAAATAATTTATAGGAAAGAAGTGGGGACGGGGGGAGGGGGGTGAAAATTCATTCACGAAAGATCTCAGGTGCTTTGCCCTTCATGAAAAAATGTTCAGTGATTTTCTCGGATCAGACAAGGGAGTTCTGATGCAGCCGCAAGGCTTAGGATGTTCATTCATGACACAGAGATTAACACTGGGGAGTCTCTTGGAGTAAAAACCAAGTTGATCAGGTCCTGACAATAAACTGGGGGGTGGGCGGTCAGTTCAACGACCTAGCTTCCCACTCGCATCTCTTTAGAATGAGGTGCTACCTCTAACACTTGGGTCTGGGTGTGTTTACAAGTGCGATGTTGCCATCCACCCGAACCCCACAGAAACCCGAGTTTGCCCCTTCCCAACTTCACAGACCTAGAAGTACCCAACCTCCCCTAACTGGGCCGCCAGAGCCAGGTGCAGATAGCGGCGGCCACCCGGGGCCAGGCCTGGCAGTGGGTCCCAGGAGGGCCGGGCCCTAGACCGAATCCATCCACATCACCCGGTTCCCGCAGCCCTGAGGAGCCAAGCACCCATCAGCGCTCCAAACGCCTCTGGACAATGCAAGCGCCACCCCCTTCCCTCTTCGGCTCTTCCGCGCGGCGGCTACAAAACCACGGCTTTGTGTGTGACAGCAAGTGTGTGCGCGAGCGTCCCTGGGCTCACACACCCCCTTGCACCCCGCCTGCTCGCCGCGCCAGGTCCGGGCACGAAGAGGGCGCACAGCGCGCAGGTCCACCAGGCTGAGAGTCGCGCTCCAGGCCTCTGGCCACCCCGCCACTGAGAGCAGGGGCTAACACCCACGCCCCCAATCCCGGCTGCGGGGACAGCGGGGGAGAGCAGAGCGCGGAGCTCAACTGAGGCGAGGCAGGGGCCAGGGGCGCAGAGGAGCCACAGGCGAGAGCGGCGCCCACGACTCTCTAGCCCCGCCGCCCCCAACTTTGCGAGCCAAGGGCCAGGAGTGGGCCAGGAGCGGGCCGGGGCGGCTCACGACTCGGCAGGAAGTTCCCAGGACCGCACTGAGCATGCTCTCGGGGAGTGTGTGCGCGGGTGTGGGCTCTGCGCTCCCTGCAGCCTCCCAGACCCGGCAGCAGCGCTGAGCGCGCCGGCGGGATCGTGGACCCGTGGGCCGTCCCCTAACAGCTGGGGCGCCCCCGGGCCTCCTGGACCCTCAGGCCCGGAGCACCGGCCCGCCGCATGCCTCCTCCCTAGGGGCTCAGGGCCAGCCTCCCTCCTTCTTCCTTCCTCCCTACTGGCCTCTGGCCGAGCCCGCCCAGTGCGCCTGGGTCCCGAGGACCCCGGCCCGGCCCACGCCTGCGGCGTGACCCCCACCGAGCTCCTCCGCGGTCCGAGCGCCCATCTACCATCCCTGGCCGCTCGCCTCCAGCCCGCGCAACCAGAGCTTCCTTTGGACTGTCCCTAGGAAAGCCGACAAGCCCCCTCGTCACGGGGCCTGGTGGGTTCAGCCTCCCCCGGGAGGCGCTGCCGGGGGCAGGTGGGCTCCTCAAGGCTTGTCCCCCGTCTGCACTCCGGGGTCCTGCAGAGAGGCCGGGGCCGGGGCACCCACGCAGGCGGCAGAGGAACGACGGAAGGAAGCCCCCGACCGCGCCGACCCCGGTGCGGGCTCTCCTCGCCCGCGCCCGGTTCCCCGTGCCCCCAGCGGTCCCCTCTGCGCGCATCACCCCGCGGGGATGACGAGCTCCGACGCGATCATCCCGATCCGGCAGCTCTTACCTCCTTGTTGGGCAGCAGCAGCAGCCAGGAGCACCCGCCGGCCGCCGTGCCCGCGGGGCCCAAGGCGCTGGGTCGCGACGCCCCGAGCCTGCGGCGCGGCTACCTGGGCTGGATCGCGCCCGGGGCCGCCGCCGCCGCGGGAGCCGCAGGGCCGCCGCGGAGCGGGCCGCGGCAGGGACGGTCTGCAAACTACCAGCCTTGGCGGGGCCGCGCGCAGCGCGTCCACACTCAGCCCCGACGCAGCAGGGACGCTCCTCTGGGAGCTCAGTAGACCGGGGCGGGAGTCTGTCCTCAATTTCTGGCAACCCTCCCCTAGTCGACCTCACCAACTTCTCCCCGCTTCTGGGCTCGTGGCTCTAGGAGGCAGAAATTCCGGCCGGGGACGTTTGGCAAACTCCCCGCCCCCGGCCTCGGGCTCAGCCAATTCGGAACGCCCCAGCTTCTCAGGGGCCGTCGGCAAACTCTCAACCCTGTCTAGGAGGACTTCTCCCAGCCACTTTGTTCCGCAGCCCAAGGGGAGAAAGGAGCGAGCGCGGGACCTCCGATCGAGGTCATAAATAATATTCTAACAAGGTCAGGGGCGGTGTGCAGATATTGATATGACAATGCATCCTCCGGAGTGGCGCAGTCCAAGCCCCAAAGGACAAGGGGCCTTACAGCAGCGAAGCCCAGTGATGGGGAGACTGTGGTCTCAACCATCTTAGGGGTGCAGGCAACTTTAACAAAACGCCCTGAGGCTGTTTACTCTTTCTTAGAACGCATTACACAAAGCAGTATGTATACAGCCATTTGGTTTTCGTGACCTAGGGCAAGCCACTTAACCATTTGAATTCATCTTTATCTATGAGCATAATAAATGCTGCTTCATGAGGTTACTGTGAAGATGATATGAAATATATGTGAAATACTTAGGGATATCTGGCACTTAATACATGAAATCCATTCTTCCTTCTCTGCCCTGCTCCCACTCGCGGATTTTAGGAACACTCCAGATGAGCTAGCTGAAAACTGCACTGTTGTAAATTCACAAATAAAACACATCCTGTGCCCTGAAGGCACCACAAAGAACATTGACTGACATGACAGATTAAATCCAACCAAGCCCCAGGAGAGAGAATGCCATACATTTACATCGATAAGCATTATAGTTTATTGTTAAGTAGTATCTGGAATGGAGGAAGAGTGGGCTATTAAGTTCGTGGTAGAATCCACAAGATCATAACCCCAGCAAGTTCCAGACCCCATAACCAGTCACTACATCCAGACCTCATAAGGATTCATATTCAGTTTCCTCTGATCTGCCCTGCAGGACTTCACCCCTACTTCGTTGTCCTCTCTGGGGTCTTATTTCTTGGACTTAGATTACCCCCACCCTACTACCCACCCTCCCCACCAGAGGCATTTACAAACTGAGAATCATGGAATTTTTAGACCCTAGAAATGATTCAGTCCCTCTCCTTCATTTTGTAAGTGAGCTCATAGCTGGTTGAGGTCTCCTGACCCCAGGACCTTAAAAGGGCACATCCATAGCCTCTCCTGCACTGAGCAAGTTCTGGGCTTTGGGCACCTTATGTCAATCCTGTCTTCAAGCTTAGCTGGAGGAAATGGCTCTAACACTTCCTGACCAGATGAGCCCCAAATTATCAGCCACTTGGCTCTTCAGCTATTATGAACTGTCAAGTCAAGATACTAAAAAACCACAGGGAAATCTGCAAGGCCAGGATGACTAAGAAAAGACCTTTTGGTGAAATCCCAGTAATGTTCTGAGGCACGTATTTCCCTCAGTCCCTTGAGAGAAAATAGAGTCTCTAGCTCTCCCCAAGCACCAGGAGGGAAATAGAAGAATGGTGACATCTGGTGGCCGGGACTTGCTGTACTTCATACAGATCATGCAGATTCTAATCATAATAGATTGGATTTGAAGCCAAGTTCCCACGGGTGGTTAATAATGGTAACACCTGGTTGCCTAGAGATTTCTGAAAGGCATCAATCATTTCAATTTTATGAACCCGCTGCTATAGAAGATATTACAGATGGTTTTGTTTCAGGATATTTTTTATAAAAAGTATATGTGTATATAGAGAAATTAAGTAAATTCGCTTGTATACACAAATATGTATTTTCCATATATGTATTACATATTCTATTTCTTTATATAAATAATACACCTGCAATGCCTTTAAGAAAAATTAATACTATCTAAATTGTTTTTCCCACAGTTAAGATTACAATTTTTATTATTCATTGCTAAAGGACACCGTTTATAGACATAAAGATGCTTATTAGGATGCAGCTGTATATTTCATCACATCCTCTCAAGAGACAATTCATTAAAAACTTGGGAAGAAAATAACATAACAGGATTTCAATAGTAAAAGCCCTGGCAGCTGATGGCCAAGGTCATGCATTCCTGGTGAAAAGAGATTCACTTTTAGCATTTCCACCGCTTGCAAACAACGGGTGTCAGGTTAAAAAAAGAAAGATACTTAGGACTATTTCACAACAATGCAACAGTGTCTGTTGGTATTGCTAAGTCTACTCTAACTGTATTGCTTCATTTCTTTTCATTTGTCTGTCACATGTATAATACTTTAAATAATTGCTCAATTATAAGCATAGTAAACACAGCTTTTTACATATAATCAAGTATAGTCAGCCTCTGTATCTGCGGATTTCGATCTGTGATTGATTGAATCTGAGGATTTAGGATCCTCCGAATCCATGCTTACAGAGGACCAACTATGTATTGTTTCTCAGCATCTCTTACAAAGCTCTATGTGAGTTATATTTTAACAATTCATGGAGCAGATTTTACTATACCTATTTCATAGAAAAAGAAGCCAAGACTTAGAAAAGGTAAGTAATATACTTACAGACAGGCAATGCTGATCAGGATCAGAGCCAGGATCGAACCCAAAGTTTGCCTGACTCCAAAGCCCAGAACCTTTCTATTATGCCATGCTGTTCACCCCAGACAACCAGGAAGAAAGGAAGATCCAGCAGAAAGTACTGTGAGTAATACCATAAATATTAAAGGGGATATTTAAGGTGCCCTACATAGACCAGGTTTCTTGACCTATTCAAACTGCATGAAAATTATAAGCAACAAAAATAACAATTATGTATGTAAACCTTATAAAGCTGGGACCCATGTGGTTCAGTCTTTGAACTGGTGTCTGTGAAATAAACAAAGGAAATATTTTTCTGCCCAGGACCTGAACTCTAATGGCTTGAGGAATTATCCACTATGTAATCTTGGTGCAAGATAAAACCTCTGATGGTAAAGGTGCTTACCAAATTTTTAGGGCAGCGTTGCTAGTGGTAGTGCCATAATGCTCATGATGTAAGCTGTGATGCCTGGCAGATAGCGATCCAGGTGACAATGTCTTCACCTTGCCAGATTTGAGGAGTTCTTTCTATATGCATTCCTCTGGCCTCCACCTTCTTCTTCTTTCTTGTTTCTTCTCTTTTTTTTGAGACAGGTTCTCACTCTTTTGCCCAGGCTGGAGTGCAGCGGCATAATCACAGCTCACTGGCAGCCTCGACCTTCGAGGCTCAAGTGATCCTCCCACCTCTGCCTCCCAAGTAGCTGGGACTACAGGTGCAAGCCATCACACCCAGCTAACTTTTTAATTTTTTTTTATAGAGATGGGGTCTCTCTATTTTGCCCAGGCTGGTCTTGAACCCCTGGGCTCGAGTGATCTTCTTTAATTGGTCAGAGTAAGTTTCTGTTGCTTGTGGTTAAGTAGCCTGACTGATACAGACATTTGAATTAACAGGCATAGACCCTAAGGGAAATAGATGAAATCAGGATAGGTTATCTAGTCTGATTAAGGTTGAGGGCTGAAAACTCAGCTTCTTTAAAGGTCTTTGATGCAGGTAGCCCATGGTATACAGTGGCAAAAGTTTGTTATCAACTGTATACATCTACAATGAAGTACCCATTGAAATCAAGCTTTGGGGTAACCAAGTGACAACTGAGCAATGAGACTTAGGAATAAGATTCTCACAATAAGACCGTGAGAGTAAGGTGGTTGTTTTTTATGGAGCTGAACAGCTTTTTTTTTTTTTTTTTTTTTTTTGAGACAGAGTCTTGCTCTGTCACCCAGGTTGGAGTGCAGTGGTGTACTCTCAGCTCACTGCAATCTCTGCCTCCCGGGTTCAAGCGATTCTCCTGCCTCAGCCTCCCAAGTAGCTGGCACTACAGGTGCACGCCACCATGCCTGGTTAATTTTTTGTATTTTTAGTAGAGACGGGGTTTCACCATGTTAGCCAGGATGGTCTCCATCTCCTGACCTCGTGATCCACCCGCCTTGGCCTCCCAAAGTGCTGGGATTACAGGTGTGAGCCACTGCACCCAGCCTGAGCAGCTTTAAAAAATAAAATTACGAGCTGAAATTCTTACATTCTCAGCTCAAGGTACCTATAAACCAGGGCTTTTCTATGACTTCTGAAACAGACAAGCAGAAAACCTTTTGATTTCTAGCAGGTGGAGGTCAAAGTAAGTGAAAAAACCTCAAATATTAATCTTTTGGATTGCTGAATTACAAAGTCACTTGCATTCATAGCCTGACCACTCTCTTATTTGAAACCAAAAGCATTAATTAGAACTTCATTAGGACCCTGAGGATTGAATGGAGTTACATAGGACAATTCAGATGACTTCATTGATGTACTCCACACCCCTCAGGCCTTGTGTTGGCTTCCTTTGCCAAATGAAGGCAGTCATGAGGTTCTTGCTGCTTTGATTGAGATCCTCTAATGACCTGGCTTGAGGGTGTTGACTTGAAACTTTATACCCTGTGCCAAATACTCCTCATTTTCTCTTACTACAAATCCCAGCACTCCTCAAAAGGCCAATTGGAAAGGCAAACTCTGAAAGAAAAGACTTATCCATCATAGGAGGTGTGAGATTCTGCTAATTTATAAAAGCAAAAGTCCAGGGAATATGTGTGGAGAGAAATTCTGAGAATGCTAGACCAAGGAGGGAAGAACATAGCCTTAGATGAGGCTGAATGTATCGATATGGAGGCATGAGCAAAGATTCTAGACTCAATGGGTTCACCTGGGCAGTTGGGAGTAGCATTAATCATCTGCTTAGTTAGCTGCTGAAATCTAGACTCATGAGGACTGATGTAAACAATAATGCTAGTTGGCATACATGTAACCCTTACTAGGTGCCAAGCACTTTTCAAAATGCTATCATATATCAAATTATCTTATTATAATAATAAACCTATGAGACAAGTGGTAACATCCTCATTTATAAAAGGGAAAACTTAGGCATATATAGGTTAAATAACTTGCCACGTGCAGCTTGTAATTGGTAAAGCTGAGATTCAAATCAGATAGCCTGGTTCCAGAGTCTGAGC